CCCTAAACCCAAAACCCTAAAACCGTGTTCTTCTTGCTGCTTGCTGTCACTATAGTCGTCGTTGCTGCATATGACGCCTAGGGCTCGCATCTCGGGCTGAAGGTCTCGGGCTCGATTTCGTTCAGAGCCTCGGTAAGGGTTGGGTTTAGGGTTTAGGGTTAGGGTACATTACTGCACTGGCCATTTGTTAAAATCAGGCACATTTACTCGCAGGACGAGGTATCGTTTCTAGACTTCGGTCTGGTTTGATGCTACTATGGTAAGCATGATCCGTCGCAAGGCTCAAGTTGAACAGCTATTTCGCGGCAGGTTCAACCACCGAGTTGCATTCGGGTGCAGTTGAAGACGTTATCTTCGTGAAGCGGCAAAATTGATACGCGACTGTCGAGGTATTGCAAGGGACCGCTGCGCGATATTCGGCATCGATCGTCTGCTTGGCGACAATGCGAATCCGCCCGTCAGATGTGGGGTTTTCCCATGACTCCATCAGCCACAGGTTCAGCTGTGGCAGGCTGGTGACCGCCACTTTGGAAGAGCTTCGATCTGGGCAGATTGACGTGTCGATCATTCCCCAAATGTTCGTTTCCCAGGTTGATGGATGCTGGTTTGCATATACAGGCAATCGGCGGCTGTGGGTGTTCCGTGAACTTGAGAATGAGGGCTACTTGCACGAAATAGAAGTGCAGGTTACAAGCAGTAAGCTTGCTAAGAAAAGGTTTACTACAACCAACATGGGAGCATCCGTTCGTGTCCGGTGGCCGGAAGACGTGAGGCAAAACAGTGTTCAAACCTCCAAGTATCACGAATACTGCTTCTTTGAAGATGAGCATGTGCAGCATTATTACATGGCTACGCCGGGGCATTCGAAATGCGTATCTCTCAACCACGATGAGTCGGGATACTTTTCATTGTTCAACGGCAAGGATGGACTCAGCTGGCAACATTTCCACATTCCCGATGGCTTAAGTGATTCAATATCGCTTGAAGCGGAGACGGGCAACGATCCCACGTTGGTTGCCTGTGGCAGCGGCGGGCGCTACTTCGTCCAGTTCAAGAAGGGGAACTGCTGGTACTCTCGGTGTGGAAATTCCTTTGACAATGCACTCGGCTGCAAAACCTTGGAAGCCATCGCTTTTGCGCCAGCTGGCGTTTACTGGCTGAGGTATGTGGATGGGTCCACTCTCTGGCAAAGATTGCCCCGCTCCCTTGACGACCTTTTGGAGGACACCGAGCTTGAGGTAAAATATGTGGCAATTTCGCCGACAGGTGCATGGTTCGTTCGGTTCCTGGACCAAACCGTCCAGTATTCAGGACTTCCACAGCTGAGTAAATACCTTATAGATGCACACGCTGCAAGGGGGCGCATGCTCGTCCAGTTGGATTTCGGTGCGAATGATGACTTCGTGATAATTGTGCATGGGCCGGACTGACCGATCGCTGCATGGCTGTCAAAGGTTTCGCGCCTGGGGAGCTCCAGCCTTGAATCTCAAGGTATCTTAAGTCTTAACACCTTTGTCTTACGAGTGCCCGCCTCGATCTTGATGTATTCTCGACGAGAGACTTCAACGGCTCATGACTTTCACCATCAACGTCGATGCTCGAACTCGATATCACGACGGGTTACTATTACCATCCAAAGTTTTAGACTCGGAAGTGATCACACTATACTCTGCATGATGGCGATGATGATTATGATGCCGCTGCTGCTGCTACTGCTGCTACTGCTGCAATTTGTGCTGCTGCTGCTGCTGCTAGTACTGCTGCTGCCTCCTCTTATTATTTTCTTTTGGTGTTGTTGCTCCTGCTCTTGCTGCTTGGTTAGGCTTTGTCGTTCTCCTGTTTTGACTGTTCTCATTCGTCTTCGAAGAAAGAAACCAATATGTGGCAACGTCATGCATGTAAGCCCTGCGCAAGATCCATGAACTTGCGTCCTGGCAGAGTCTTAATCTCAGCCGCACATAGATACGCCAGACGCCTAACATGGCCTGGACTCACCATGCACAACTGGCCGCAAATTTGTGTTCCTTCGTTGCGGTAAACCTGGGTAGCACATACGCTCGAATCTTAGATGGCCCAATTACCCGTCCTCAAGTCCCATGCCCATGTTCATGAACACCATGTGGACTCGTACACAGATTTGCGCGTGAAGGCCTAAATAATTCCAGGCACTCTATACGCACATAACATTTACTGCTGTTCCAGAGATTACGCATCCTGTTGCATTTTGTCGTAAACTCTAGTCAAGCTAAATGAAGAAACGCCCAACCTCAGTTACTTTTAGTCAGGCTAGACCCTAAACCCTACACCTTAAACCGGGTAAATCCTAAACCCTCAATCTCAGCTGCCATCCTGTGAAGGTGGCGTCAGCTGGATCGAGGTTGAGGCGGCATTGGCGGGCATCTCCCCGTTCCTTGGCAGGGAACATCCAAATCACAGTAGTGTGGGTAGTTCTCTCAATTAAGTTCAGGGACCTAAAAAGGGATCTTAGTTTAGATGCCTAAGTAATTACCAATATTTGTTCCTTCGGGTTCCTTATTATGACTATACTACAAAGGAGCCCAAAACCCTATTCTGATCATTAAGGCCCAAGAACAAGCCGTGACCCCAAGCTCTGAACCCTCAGCCGCAAAGCCTTAAACCCAAAGTCCCAAAACTCTAATCCCGAACCCCGAACCAGCCGCCATCAACCCCCGTAGACATAGCCAGAACCCTATCAAAACCCTTGGTGCTGACTTTGCAGTCCCCAGCTCCTAAACTTTAAACCCTAATCCCGAGTCCCTGAGCCCCTAACCGCTACCTGCTTTCAATTCCGCTTCAGGCTCTTGGTTCTGATCTTCTTGCTGCTTGGCCAAGCAGCGTTCTGCCCTGGGGCTGAGGCTTCGAAATTGCCAACTCCCAAACTGCAAAACCCTAAGCCCCATGATGCCCTATACCCAGAGACTCCAATATCCATGAAATGAGGGTGACTTCGTCAAGAGGCCCCTATATAGGCAGAACGCCCCAACTTTCTTATCCTAAGCTATAGATCACGGGGCGGGTTTAAGGTTGCGACTTCCCGAATCTTCAGCATTAAAAGTCATTCCCGAGACCAAAATTTTAGGGGGGTAGGGCTTGTGTGTCGCCGTTTAGATTACCTTGGGCTGGAAATCCAAATTCGAACCCGTGAGACTGCCTACATACAGCCTTCCTTCGGAAGACGCACAATGGCGCCACATCATCAAGCTCTGTCGAGCCTTCTGAACGCCCCGTGGATCACCAAGGCAAGCAGCAGAAACGATGCCGTACCTACTTGGATACTCAGTACAAGCCCATCTAGGTCAGAACTTCTACGGACCTCCATTCAAACGAGCATGAGGCCTCAGGCTCGCATGGCCCGCCAAGGATCCAATGGTTTGAGCACGATCGTGGGTTGTTGGCGTCTCATATGTAACCAGGACTTGCAACATAGAAAGGGGAGCGGGTTTTACAGCCCTTGTTCTCTAACATCGAGGAGTATAGTGGTGTAGCTCTTTATGGCATAGAGAAAATGAGAGTTTACCTGCAACGTCAACTCGACACTGCGCACGACATACTCCCCTGTACCCGCCCCGCGGTCCCTAGACACTCTGCCGACGTAGAGGCTTCGGGGTGTGTCTTAGCCTCTACGGGTTGCAAAAGACCGAGGATGTACTTCAGTTTTATTTACTTCGCCATCTTGAACGTTGCCCGGGCCTTGGCAAATCAGACCCTTGCGTTCAACATAAACTTTACCCAGGTTCACGAATGAATTCTTCAAGCTGGATTTCATGGTTATAACCTCTCGATCCTGAGGATAGTCTGTTTGTCTTCAGGAGGGTGGGTTCTGCTTCTTTCAAAGACATGCTGTTTGCTTACCTTCTATCGGAAGTACAGTCAAGGCCCGTCCACTGGTCAAACCAGTACTCCGTTTGTCAAGCTTGTATGCCCGCCAAACAGGGCCCCAGCGTAGTAACTTCGCCAACCGTCAGTGAGCGGGTTCGCAGCTCAATCCTCGTCATGAGAGTCGCCATGGCACCTAAGCAGACCCCAAGTGAGCACCTGCACACCTGGATACATGTGTGCGGAATCGTACACGCGCAAAAAAAAGGTGAATGCATGCATGGGCGCCTTTGCTTGGCCTTGTCCGTCTACATGATGGTCAACGTCAATGTCTACAAGTTCCTTCTTGCATCCCTGTACATTTGGGGGCTGTCGGCACCGGAACAAAGTTAGTTAGTTGGGTCTATGAGGTGTCCCGTCCATTTGGGGGCTGCCGGCACCGCAACTTAGTTAGTTAGTTAGTTAGTTAGTTAGTTAGTTAGTTGCAGCTCAGGCGTGCTGTCGTCCTTGGGGGGTATAACAGTCATGTTGATGTGCGGCGTGTTTTGCGTTCTTTATCGGCTTCGTCGTAAAGGCAGTTGTGTTTGGAACGATGTGTCGTACACTCCTCTCGGATGCTTCGTAACCCTAAACCCTAAACCCTAAACCCTAAACCCTAAACCCTAAACCCTAAACCCTAAACCCTAAACCCTAAACCCTAAACCCTAAACCCTAAACCGTTGAAAGAGCGTGCTTGGATTGAAGTTGCTCCCTGGTCTTCGGAAAGGCAGGGGCTGCGTCTTTGTCTTCGGGCTAGCGGTTTAGGGTTTAGGGTTTAGGGGTTTAGGGTTTAGGGTTTAGGGTTTAGGGTTTAGGGTTTAGGGTTAGAGGCAGCTTCATAATGGTAACGTCTACATTCAGGCTTTTCGCCGTTGTGACTTTGAGCATATGCGTCGGGTTGATGAAGAGCCCTGGTTGCAGGATCGTTGCCCTGGGCGCAACTGTGAGTCCTGCTTGGTTTCAGACGACGCGTTTGTTCAGCGACCGTTGTTTGTGGTGCGATGCTTTAGGCACGTGGCATCACATGTGTTGGGAGTGCAATGCGAGCCCCTTGCGGGATGCTCGGCCTCTGACCCCGCGTTGCAGTCTTCTTCCGCGTTGGGGCTGGGTGACGAAGAGCAAGACTGGTTCGGTTCTTCCCTTCTTTGCGCAGGTTCAAGAACTCCTGTGTCGTGGTAGTTGGAGAGCTTAGCTTGGTTGCTTGGGTTGTGATTGCTTGGTTGTTTTATAAAGCTTCTTGCTTGCCCACCCAGGCTCCTCCGTGTCTGGCGTGAGTGAGTTGAGGCTTTCGCTTGCTTTATAATGCTCTGTTTCCTATCCACCCAGGCTCTTTCGTGTCTGTGTCTGGAGTGTATGAAATAAGGCTGTAGCGGGGTTGTCTTTAACCCTAAGCCCTAAACCCTAAACCCTGGTTGGGCACATGAGTTGTCAAGTGTGGGCCTCTAGCTTCGTGCTGTAGGCTGCGCTTCTGCTCTCATGTCATAGGTTGCCCCCCCTTTTGATATGAGGGGCTCACGGTGGTGTCCTGTCCATTTGGGGGCTGCCGGCACCAGAACAAAGTTAGTTAGTTTTTGCAGCTCAGGTGACGGGCGTTTTCTGTTCGAGTGCTATAGAGAGCGCATCAGAGGCACCTCCGTGAATGCGCTTCATTCAGGGTTCAGGGTTTAAGCTTTATGGTTTCAGGGTTCGGATTCTTCCGGAGTTCCGCCGTCACAAATCCTTGTCCGAACGCTTTCTTCCTCCCTGCAAGAGCTCGCTTCTCCAAAACCTTGCAAACCTTCCGAGTTGAATCATAGAGTTGGAATTCAGAGCCACTAGCAAACTCTACAACCCCAGCTTTGGATTTTGAGTCCCACGCCTCAAGCTTAACACGCACTCCCAAGCTTCGAGTCTTACGCTTTCAACCTGTGTAGAAGCCTGCTGGCAGGATGCAGGCATGCTGATTGTCGACCACATGCGAAAGACTGAGGAGCCAACAGCTGATGTTCACTGTCGGTTTTGGCTAGTAGGCCAGCAGGTTTTCGTTTGCTATGATCATGTTTATTTTGGGGCCTAAATAATTACTAATGTTATTTTGGAGGTTGCTTATAATAAATATACTTTAATATACCCCAAAACTCCATTGAAATTATTTAAGGCCCCTATACTAACTTGTAAGGCCCCTACATTAGATGCGGGGTTTAGGTTTGGGGGTTTCGGCTTTATGCCTTTAGAGCCTTCGGACTTCAAGGTTTTCGGGTTCAGAGTTTCCCGGATAGGTGTCGGGTTTAGCGATTTGGGCTTAGGGTGTGGGGCTTAGCAATTAGAATAGGGTTTGGTGGTATATTATACTATAATTATAATAATGAGCCCCCAAGAATAGTATAGGTAATTATTAAGGCGCCTATATTAGGGTGTGGGGCTGAGTGTTTGTAGGGGGGCTTACGGTTGATCCTGAACCCATGATGCAGTCTTAGATTCCCATTATCTCGCCCCACCGCCGCAGCCCCAACGGTTCGCACCCTCATTGACTCATGGCCTGTCAACGAATTAGAGCCCACTTTTTCTGTTTCTTGCTTGGTTTTGTGTGCTGCCCTCAACATCAGCGGTGGCCTTTTCCTCATTGTCAATTAGTACAGACCCATCAACAGAAAGCCATTGTTTTGGCGGCGCCTGATTCAGCTGGTTGAGAAGGTAATTAGGTTATAAGTTATAAGTAGACTTTACAGTATTACCAGCACCGTCAGGAAGATCCTAAATGGGGTTGTGATACCTTTAAATAAGTAAACAGAAGGACTATTTACTAAGTCCCCGACCCTCCAAGTAGCGCGTCCTCACCCTGATGCAGACACTGTCACTGATTCTGCCACCCCTGAACCTTCAAGCAGACCCTAAGCATTGTATGGGCTTTATACAAACTCGATAATCCCGAAATACACCCCAAAATGCCGAAGCTTTAATCTCCTGATCCATGCTGTATGTTTTTTCTTGTTGTTTCGGCGTGCGCGGTATGCAGGAGTACGCGACGAAGCTCACAAATCTGCTCTTTGGATTCAGAGTTACAAGGGTTTAGGGTTTAGGGTTGGGGCTTGTAGGCTTGGTTTTTCCGACCCAATCTTAAGCCCGCAAGGCTAATGTAGGGTAAATAGGAGGATCATGGCTGGCAGCACTACTCTCACTGTTAGCCTTAGCATCATTACCATCGCTCCGAAAGCCAGCCTGGCACCAAAACCCCCGTCGCCCAAACCCTAAACCCAAAACCCTAAACCCGAAACCTTAGCCCGAAACCCAAAAACCCAAACCCAAAACCGTAAACCCTAAACCTTAGCCCTAAACCCAAAAGCCAAAACCCTAAACCCTAAACCCTAAACCGTTTGCAGTCTAGCATACCCACCGGCTCTTGTAGGGTTTAGGGTTTAACACTCCACATCAAACCGACCGGCTCAATCCCAACCCCTAAACCCTCAACCGTAAACCCTAAACTCTACATTAACCCTAAACCCCAAAACCCTAAACTCTACATCAACCCTGAACCCTAAACCCTACATCAACTTTAAACCCTTAACCCTAAACTCTACATCAACCCTCCACCCTAAACCCTAAACCCTAAACTCTACATCAGCCCTTGAGCCCCTTTCGGTCAAAGGCCCAGCCTTTCCCGGTGAGTTGGAGTCGGTTTCAGCTTCAGGTTTTGAAATTCTGGCCTCCCAGAGGGCTCTGATGTCGTAAGGTTTAGGGTTTTAGAGTTTAGGGTTGGGGTTTAGGGGTTTAGAGGGTTTAGAGTCTAGAGGGTTTATTCTCTAGGGGTTTAGGGGGTTTAGGGTTTAGTGGTTTAGAGTTCATGGCGCCTGTAATGGCAGGACCATGAGCAACCCTACAGAAAACCCTAGGCCCTAACGAAAACCCTCGGCAGAATCGGGCGCTGAACGCCCCTCAAACCCTAAACCGTAAACCCGAAACCCTAAACCGTGAGCCTTTTGAAGACGACGCTTCGATCCAGCTCGAAGCCCCCAAACACCAAAAAACACAGCACCAACAATCAGAGTTTAGTCTAGGGATTAGGGATTTAGGGTCTAGGGGCTTCGGGTTTAGGGTTCAGGGGCTTAGGGGCTTTGGGTTTAGGGTTTAGGGTGGTTTTGGGGTTTTAGAGTTTAGGGTGTACTGAGCCCTCCAACCCTAAACCGTAACACCCCCGAAGCCCTGACGCTTCAAAGACCAACACCCGAACGTCGCAGGTCCTGGACCTATAGCCTTGAACTCTAAAGCCCCAACCCCTAAAGTCAAAAACCCTAAATTCTACAGCACTAAGCCTAGGCCCTAAACCTCTAAACCCTAAGCCGGAAAATCTTAAAACTTTAGCAAGGTTTAAGCAGATCGATGCCGACAACTCGGACACCATCTCCATACTGGACCGGCAGCCGCACACTGGATATCAGGGAATAGACCGATTTAGGGTTTAGGGTGTAGGGCTTTAGGGTTTAAGGTTTAGGGGCCTCAGCTTTAGGGGTTTTGGGTTCAGGGTTTTGGGGCTTCGGGTTTAGGGTTTCAGGGTTTTGGGGCCTCGGGTTTAGGGTTTCAGGGTTTAGGGTTTAGGGTTTAGGGTTTAGGGTTTAGGGTTTAGGGTTTAGGGTTTAGGCAAGACTTGAACATAGAAGCACTGAGTAACTACGTCAACATTATCCCTTACTTGGAGGGTCGGGGGACTTAGTAAGTGGTCATAATATAGACTTAGAAGTATCATAACCCCAATTAGAGTCGCGTTTAGGTTACGTATACGTCTACGTATTAGCTACCTACGAAGTCGCCCGACCCTCCAAGTAGTTTTCCTTAATACAAGTTTAGCATCTTATACCACCCAAAGCCTTTTTCTAGTTATGAAGAATTCAGGATCCTCCGGAGACCTGCTAAAGGACAGAGCTTTTGGGGTTTTTGGCTGGTTTAGGGTTTAGAGTTTTACGGTTTTGGCTGGTTAAGGGTTGGGGGTTTAGCTTGGTTCAGGGTTTCGGTTTTTCGGGTTTAGGGTTTAGGTTGGTTTAGGTTTTCTAGATCGTTAACCGGGTCTGGTTGAGTTGCAAGCTTTATACGAAATCTCGGACCTTACAACCAAGCCGAAAGTGCCAAGCTCCAAAGGCCAAGCCCTGAACTGCCGAGCCTTCAAACCCAAGCGCTCACCGCAACTATCACCTGAACCTCAAAATCCTACGGCTGATGATATAAATCCTGCCTTACCCATAAGAAGGAAGTCACCATAATTCCCATAGCATAGGGTCCTTAAGGTAATGCTAAACCCTAAACCCTAAACTCTAAACCCTAAACCCTATAGTGTCCTTTAAGGCAATGCAGGATTTCGATCATCAACAGTATCACCTAAACCCTAAACCCTAAACCCTAAACCCTAAACCCTAAACCCTAAACCCTAAACCCTCAACAGTATCACCTAAACCTCGAAATCCTATGAACCTTGGGTCCCCCAAGTGCAGAACTTAGGGTTTAGGGTTATTAGGGTTATTAGGGTCTAGTGTCTGGGGTTTAGGGTTTAGGGTTTAGGGTTTAGGGTCTAGGGTTTAGGGTTTAGGGTTTAGGGTTGTGGGTTGTTAGGGTTTAGGGTCTAGGGTTTAGGGTTTAGGGTTTATAGGGCCATGTCCAATCTTAACCGCCCCAAACACAATAAAGCCTTGCATGACAGCCAAACCCCAGGAATCTCAGAAGCCGGAAGCCTAAACACTCACATCCTGCATTAGCGGTTTGGGGTCTAGGGTTTTGGATTTTAGGGTTTAGGGATCAATCTCAACCCCTATGAGGCCTGTAATTCTAGTTTGGAGCACCAACCTGCAAAACCATAGAGGTAGCGCACTAGACGTCAACAACCAAGCACGCAACCACCCCAAACCCTAAGCCACTGATCCCTAAACCCTAAACCCTAAACCCAAAACCCTGGCACGTCGGCTCAGCCTGGTAAGGACTTCTAGCTGTTCTGCAGTTGGAACAGGGCCCCAAAAAAACAACAACCCAAAACCCTCAACCCTAAACCCTAAAGCCCTCAAGCCCTGAAGCCCTAAAACCCTAAAACCCTAAACCCAAAGCGCCAGGAGTTCGAGGAGAATTTCGGAGATCCGGAGGTGAAGGCCCTGTTCCAAACTCTGGGCATCGACGAGGATAAGGCCCGGCTTTCACACCGCAGTCTTAGGGTTTTAGGGTTTAGGGTTTAGGGTTTTTTACGGTTTAGGGTTTAGGGTTAAGGGTTTTTGGGGTTTAGGGTTTAGGGTTATGGGTTGTTAGGGTTTAAGGTTTAGGGGTTTAGGGTTTAGAGTTTAGGGTTTAGGGGGAAACCGGGAACTTTTTGAACCTCAACTCCAAAAGCCCTCAACCCTTAAGTATAGAGGTCTTAATACGTAACATTCGGAACTGGGCTCTTTTTTCGTGTGAACATATTGGGACTGTCAGGGAATGTTATTAGGAATTCCGACACCTACATTCAACCCCGTTCAGCCCCTAAACCCCTAAACCCTAAACCCTAGACCCCCTTCTTAAACCCCAAGACGCCCGAGTGACGAGGCATGGAAGCTCTTCGAGATACTCGATGAGAACGAGGATGGTGAGATCCACGTCGAAGAGTTCGTGCCACCGGTCTGACGTTACGTGGAGGGTCGGGGGACTTAGTAAGTAGGCAGTAAGAAGACTTATAAGCACCTTGACAGGGATCCTAATTGGAGTTATGCTCCTTCTAAGTCGTTCCTCACTGTCGAGCTTCTCGCCCTAAACCCTAAACCCTAAACCCGAAACCCTAAACCCTAAACCCCAGGCATTTAAGCTTCCTGGCTCCTGAGCTGCTTTCAGTTTGCGTGATGGGAGATCTCTCGTCAACGTGCGGAGGGTGCGAGGAGGAGGATGCGGAGCCTCGTAGAGCCTCCCGGAGGAGCAGGAAGGACCCCAACCTGCGGAGGGTCACGGTTTAGGGTTTAGGGTTTAGGGTTTAGGGTTTAGGGTTTAGGGTTTAGGGTTTAGGGTTTAGGGTTTAGGGTTTAGGGTTTAGGGTTTTGGGCTACAAGGATTCCCAACTTTGGACTCCTGTCCGTTACTTGGCCCTACTTGATGCTCCAAATGCCCTGGGCTCAAGCATGGGCTCTTGGGACTTGGCCACAAGGC